ACTGCTGTAGAAACTGTTACGGTTAGTGTTGTTTTTTCGATAATTGTTAGATATGTTATTGTTGTTGTTGTTGCCAAAATTGTTGTTGTTGTTGTGGTTGATGTTATGTTTGCTGTTGTTGTTTTTGTTATTGTGGTTGTTGTTGTAGCCATTTTTTTCTGGCTCAGATGTTGCGATTTTCGAGCATCGTACTCCGTCCAATCATCTTTCCACACCTTCCTGTCGCCCAAAACCCTCCAACCGGAGTCGGCGGCATCGTTGTTATTTCGGTAGTTTTTGTTGTTCAATTCGCCCATTAGGCTGGGGGGGGGGGGGGGACGGGACGGCAAACGTGCGTCCATAGTATTAATTACAGAGGCAAGGCATTTAATTTCATTCAAAATGTCCCCACTAACTGCGTCGGCAAGACATTGCTTTCCAGTCAACACATTTGAAGTAGAACACCGTTCAGTGCATTGCGCAGCCATAGACTGCTCAAATTTGTCACTTCATCACATATTTTCGTCAGCTCACGTGACTACTTCAAACTAGGGGAACAGGATTTTTCAGTAATACAAGGAACAAATCTTAGTCCTTGTTACTTTTTATGCCTTGTTGATAGTGACAAGACTCGGCTTTGTCTACCGAGGATGATCTTGAAACAAGGAAAAAAGTTGGAGACACGACCGCATTGTTGACGTAGGACTACGATATTTTTGTTCGATTTTCTAGTTTGTTGTTCGGGATATTATTTTGGAATTAAGTGAATTTCATAACTCAACTCTTTTGTAGAAAGTTGTGGTGACCCTGAACTGTGATGGTTTCTTTATGGCAAGCTTTGCTATAATCACTGGACCTCGTGTTTATTCGCGTTTATACATATCACTTGCGCAGGAAATCAGTTTGGCACGGCATTTGTGACCAGCATATCTTCCGGTGGCATCACACAGGTCAAAATTTGCCCAAATATGCCAATAAATTGGTTTGTTTTGCATTTGCTTTTAGCAAAATACTGAACTTTTCGGGAACATTCACGCCGAAGAACTCACCAACACACTTTTTGTTACATGCCTCATGCATGTAACAAATGAAATTGTGATTGCCTTTCTTTTTGAACACGCCGGTAAAGTACACAGACTCCTCCCATCATAAGTAGTTTGCTATCAAGTAGCGAAACTGGCTCCTCTCCTTTTGTACTCTCTGTACTTTAAGTCTATGTTCTCTGTACTCTGTATTATTTCTAGATAGAGCTGGAATTAGGGTGTAACAGCTTTTGTAAACAATGACTTCTCTCAATAATTTCTACTAAATCAAAGCTTGTCCACGCAAATCAACATCACCACCGGTAGAGGAAGACTTCCCCTACCCGATGGTTCTATTGTTTTGCGTGGGAGTGCCTTGAATTCCTAGAAATCTTCGAGCGAAGTCATTGCTTACAAAAGCTGTTACGCCCTAGTTCCAGCTCTATCTAGATTTAACGGTTCGGACGATTTCGAAGATGTCGCGCAGCAGGAGAATGCATACGATGAGGGTTTCTCAGTTTATGAAAGTGGAACGGAATAAATTTAGTTTAGTGACAAATTGAATGGGTTACTCTATATAAATTCTATTCTAACTCTTTTCTGAAATCAACTTGGTGGCCCTGAAAAGGGCCGTTTTGTTACGTTGGTGATAAGTTTTAACCTCCGAAACCGTACAGAGTGCGTCCCTGTCGCTTCAGAGTGTAGATGACATCCATGACCGTGACAGTTTTGCGCTTGGCGTGTTCAGTATAGGTGACGGCATCACGGATTTTTCTAGGAACATCTTCAGCACACCTCGGGTTCCTTCGTAGATCAGACCGGAAATACGCTACCACCACGTCGAGCCAGATGACGGATGGCAGGCTTGATAATACCCTGGATGTTATCACGCAGAACCTTCCGATGACGCTTGGCGCCTTCTTTTCCAAGAGCTTTGTCTCCCTTGCCACGACCAGTCATTGCTGCTTGATGTTTGTCTTTGAACGGGTGAATCGAAACTAAGCTAAAAGCAACTTTTTTTTTTAAACTTTAAATAATCTATATTTCTTGAATTTGTGTGGTTTACATGTATAACTTATCAAGTGACACAGATGCGTCTTTTCAACTTTAGTTCTTTTGATATTTCAATTATTATTAATTACAGTTCCTAGTCCTATCAGGCCTGTTTTAAGAATGACCACCTTGGTGGGTAAGCTAAAAGCGTAGTTAGCAACCTGTTATATAGACAACCAGCTCTGCCGGTACCATATTTTCTCGGTCATGATGATGCAGCTTTGTCGATATTGGGAAATTCTCCGTGATAACATCCAGGGCCTGCCATCCGTCGTCGTGGTGGTGTCAAGCGTATCTCCGGTCTGATCTACAAGGAAACCCGAGGTGTACTGAAAGTGTTCCTATAAATTATGATCCATGATGCCGTCACTTGTACTGAATACACCAAACGCAAAACCACCACTTCATTGGATGTCGTCTACGCTCTGAAGCAACAGGGACGCACTCTGTATGGTTTCGGAGGTTAAAACTTATCACCAACGTAACATTGGTGGCCCTGAAAAGTCATTTCAGAAAAAAAAAGTTAGAATAGAACTTATATAGAGTATCCCCTGCTTCCAAATTTGGTTATAGAATTACAACTCTGGAGAGCTGCGGTGCCGGTGGTGTAGTGGTAAGCGTAATTACCTCTCACTCAGGTAAGCATAATTACCTGGGTTCAATCCCAGTCGGCGCCACCGGGATGTTCTGAGGCATAACATCTCTGATCACGCATTCCTTCGCAATGGAAGTAAATCCGTTGGTCCTCGGTTGATGAGTTGATGAGTCGATAGGTAGGGTTCAGGTGTGGGCAGCATTATAGTCGCTATAGGTAGCATTGGTGCTCAGCACGGAAAACAAATACAAGGAAAAAAAAACGGAGAGCATTTTGTGTGGTCGTTGGGGGCGTGTGGTTCTGAATTGGCAGCAAAATGTTCCGCAATTGCATCCTCCCTATTCGTACACGCCCGAAGATCGGAGGCGAATGTCACTTCGACTTGTTTCATCTAATAACCATTCTCTGATGACTGTGTTGGGGAAGCAGCATATGCATGTACGTAAATGGTGGATTTGTTAGTTATGTCGAAGCTTTTGGACAATGCTTGAAATTTACCACTTTTTCAATAGTTTCAATTTGATAATTAACAGTCCAAAGCATTGTTATCGCTGCGTAGAAATGTTTCTGATCGATTGGTGATAATTTATTTGAAATTGGTCCAGGGGCAGCTAAGTTATTAACGTTCAAAATCTTTCATAATTTCATTTGTCGGTTTTCATAAAGTGTACTCCCATCTTCCCGAAAGACGTAGTCCTACGTCAAAAAAATGAGTTAGTTGTCTTCATCTTGGGGAAAAGTTGGCTTCGGCAATACCTTAACCTATTATCGTCAGGGGGTAAACAACGTCCTTGAGAGCTCAATTTTGGCATGTGGATACATTGTGTTTCAGAGCAACTATTGGCCAAATTTGAGTGCTCTAGGACTTTGTTTACCCCCTGACGATAATAGGTTAAGGTATTGCCGAAGCCATCTTTTCCCCTATGTGATTCCTAATCTTCTATTCATTGTTCCCTAGTTTGAAGTGGTTAAGACTAGGGTTCTGATGCATGGTCATTATCGGTGTCTTTAATTTTGTTGCTAAGGAATCCAATTTTGACTGACAAAGGGACGCGCCTTTGGAGGGTGTTTCAACACTCCGAAGGGTATAAATAGCGGAACCTTTCAATTAGAGTCGGATCCTTGCGATAAATGCAAGAGTGGCAACTGTAAAAAAATCGAATGCTTCATCATTTCTCAATAGTGATGGAGTAATACGACATGCACTAAACTAAGGACACGGGATATACTACAATCGATCAATTTACTGGTTGCAGTAGTGTTAGGTCCCGAACAGAGGAAAAAAAATCCAGTGGATGTAAATTAACGGAGTATTTGATTCAAAAAAGGGCATCAATGATCGATTTCTGACCTCTAAACGTCGTCCCAGTACTTGAATGGTTTTATTTGTCAAATACATACATTGCAGCGTCATCTGTCTTGTAACTTTCGAATACAAAATATAATCAAAACATCTAATCATTTCATAATTCCAAAATCATTATTTTTGCGGAATGAGTTCTATCTAGCCTACTTCTGGGAAATTGTTAAAGCTTCAGGAAATTTCTAGAATTCCTGAAAAAATCAGCGAAGAGCCATGATCATTAATAAATATTATTCTTAAAATATCTCAGGATTGTCAATATACAAATTTTTTAAAACATTGTATCAACGATCTCCTGCAGCCGGACTTAACTTTTAAAGCAAAGAATGTTTAAAATATTTAAACCTGAAAATCTGACTTCCAAATTTTATACATTTGATCCATAATTTTTAAACGCATTTTAGATTAAAAAACCCCGATCATTGACAACCTTATGGGGATGATAAAAGCATAGCAATATTGGGAATCCGGATAGTTCTAGGTAGGATAAATTTTCCACGAAACATTCAACTCGTCAACATCTTTTAAACGATTACCATTCAATCTTCCGTTCGTACAATAACAGCTCTTCCGCACCCATTTACAAAGAATTCCTCCGCTTGAGCTCTCTTCGGTTTGATTTATCCCCCATTTAGTCATCGATTACACATGAGTAAACACGACCATATCGAAAATGAAAGTTCTACCTGCAATCACGACCAACGACGCACGAAACGGTCGGTAGTTCCAGTACCTAGTCTCAACAAAAACGACGACGAGCACACGGTTAATAGAAGCAGGAAGTTGCACCCTTTTCCAATTTACCGTAACAAAGAACCCGTCGTCGTCGTCGTCGTCGTCGTCGTCGTCGTCGTCGCCGTCTGTCGACATCATCATCGCGCACGTTGCCCCTGAACCATGTAGTTTGTCACGCTTTCCCAGTCACGTTAATTTGTCACCCGACGAGTGATGCCTAACGAATTGTTTTCTTCTTCTTCTTTTTTTGCAGAGTCCCAAGTTTGCTCCACCCATCGAGTTTGTCGATCAGGCCACGCTTAGTCCTCCCGAGGGCTACAAGGACGGCAGTGGGCTGTTGGACAATGCGCTCGGCGGCGCCCTCGGTGGGCACGTCTTCGGTGCACAACACATTCAGCAGCTCCAAGTTATCCAGCGGCTACAGCAGCAACGGGCGGCCATGTTGGCCGCTCGGGCTGCTGCCGGTCAGCAGGGACAACAAACGGGCGGCGGCACTCAGACCTCCCAAACTGGCACCGCCGGTGGTGGCGGTGGGGGAGGAGGAGTAGGTGGCGGCGGTGGTGGTGGGGCAGGACAAACAGCTCAGCAGCAGCAGCAACAGCAGCAGCAGCAACAACAACAACAGCAGCAGCAACAACAGCAGCAGCAGCAGACCGTTTGTACCGAATGTGCCGAGTGTGCGGAATGTGCCGCCAAGCAGTTGCATGATGAAGGTAGGTGTAAAAATTGATGCTCCCGTTCTTGGAATTGACTCCTGGGTGACTTTGGGATTTATTGAATTAGTGTGGGCACATGTGGGACTAGAGAATGGGTTTATAAAGCAATAGAGTTATGCGTGATTTGAATACATTGGTGAGTTGATTGTTGGTACGATTTCAAACTCAATTTGAAATATGATATTAAAGTAAAAGTTTTATTGAATTATAAACTACGGTGAATTCGATAGTGTATCGAAGGTCAATTGATCTATAATCTTCTACAAGTTTGTTCTGCATAGTATCCTCTATCTAAATCTCCGGGAAATGTAAGATTCTACATTACATTGCGGAAAAAAATTCCACAATATTATCTTTAAAACTCTCCCGAAAAATTATGCTGAAATCAGGAACAGTTGTTGGGGATATCATTTCAACAGTGAGGAGCAGCGGGTTTTGAATGGACCTGTGCACCGATCATGATGTCACCGGTGTGTGTTATTTTTCTCTGGTGGCGGCAGCAAGAACTGGCATAAAGCTTTTTAACGACAAACATATATATTTTGCATACAGAAACTAATAAATTATACATCTTCTTCTTATTATTCGCATGTCAAGCTTATTGCTTAGTGCATATTAGCTTATTGCGTGCTCTCAACTTAGTGTTCTAAATGCACTTCCACAGTTTTTAATTGAGAGCTTTCGATGCCTATACCAATGCAGGAATTTGAATATTGTGTGGCAAACACAATGATACTCTATTATGCCCAGGGAAGTCGAGAAAATTTTCAACCCGAAAGGTTCACTCGAATCGAACCCGCCGACTCCGGCTTGGTAATACCCTGCGTTTACTGACTAGCCTATGAAGCCCCCTTTAAATTATACGTACAGAATTGAAAAACCAATGCTTAAAAACACACACAAATGAGCCATTAAACCCCGGTGCAAATCCCTAAAAAAGCGATTGAACCATACAAAGTATCAAAACGATCCATATGTTATGTCAAATTTAGCAACACAATTGTTAAACTGTACCTCCAAATGTTTAAAGAACGAGCATAGTACGAATTACCCATAAACATATTGAAAATATTCCATAACTCGTTCAACAACGATCTTTAAAGTAACGAAATTGATCCATAGAAAATGTCCGCACCACGGAATCCGCTTCACCCGGGCAGGAAAAAAATAACTTATTAATACCAAATTTAGGTATGAAAATAGCATAACTGGCAACCTAAATATGGTATTAAATAGTGAGGCTGACATAAGAGGTAAAATACCAAAAAAAATACCTCAAAAATGTTCCAAGCCAACGACTCTCCGAAAGTATTGCTTGAAAGCCTTGACCGCGGCCCCTCAAAGGCCGCCGAATGTCAGAGCGTTCACAGGAATGAAGTAGAACTGGATGGATGATTCAGCGCAGAACGATGCTACTTTCAGTCGGAGTTGTTGGTCGTTGAGTTGCTTCCGAGAGGTCTCTTAGTTCTCTGTCTGTGCCCTTGAAGTTGGTGGCATTGTCACAGAACTTAGCAATTGGCTTGCCTCGGCGGGCAACGAACCGTTTCAACGCTACGATGCAGTGCTGTAAATTCTCAAAATCAATTGAACATTTTTGATGAAAATGAGAAAAGTAGCTATTCGCTATCAAAGGGGACCTCCTTCGAATGGGTGATATCAGTTACTTAGTCATTTGACGAAGGCATGGATCATTCTCATTTGAGAAACGCTACATAAGGCTTGTACTCGAAAAAAATGCACCATTTTTATCCGTGTGTAACTTTTTTATCCGTGGGTAAAAATTGATAAAAATCTGGGTATAACTAGTTTGGAGTGAATTGTTTACATGTGCAAAATTTCATAACAATCGGTTCAGTGGTGATTGAGATGTCATCGAAACAAGAAGAAAATCGCCGGAGAATTTTGCGCGCCGTCATGGAAAATCCGACTTGACCATGAGATGGATCGGAAGACAATTGGGAATCACCCATACAACAGTGTCTCGGGTGGTAAAATCGTTTAAGGAGTCCCAGACAACCGAGCGGCGGGCTGGAAGTGGAAGAAAATCGAAGACGGCTGACCCTGTGGAGGCCCGGAAGGTGTTGGATTATTTCAAGCGTAATCCGAACCTTTCGATTCGCGACGCGGCTCTGAAGGTAAAGTGTTCCGCCTGGTTCGTTCAGCAAACCATGAAACGAGCTGAGCTTCGTGTATTCAAGGTCCGGAAGGCACCGAACCGACGTGATCAACAAAACACGGCGGCCAAATCCCGCGCAAGGAAGCTGTATCGAGAGTGGTTAACGAAACCGATGTGTGTGGTTATGGATGACGAAACCTACATCAAGGCAGACGCAAAGCAGATACCGGGGCTGGAGTTCTACGTTGCCAAATCACGATTTGATGTTCCGGAAGACATAAGGAAGAAGAAAGTGGACAAATTCACCAAAAAATACTTGCTCTGGCAGGCCATATGCCAATGCGGTAAACTGAGTAAACCGTACATCACAATGGGTACCATCAACAGCGAAATTTACCGCACCGAGTGCATCCAGAAGCGACTGCCTAACATTGATCCGACATCGGGTTGACTTGTCTGTTCGGGACCATTTTGCTGGGTTTCTTCCATACTCCACTGTCGTATATCAAATGATAGTGAATGACTCAATTGACAGTGACAATGAGCTTCGAATGAGAAAGGGGCTCTTCAAATTATAGTCATGTGAGAATTCCTTTACACAGAAACACAGAATTGATTAAATGGTTGTCGGAATGATGCAAACTTTCGGAAGCTGGCCATCAGCTGGTGTTCTGCTTGTGGTTGTGTGTGATAACAACGCTAGCAGGATTTGACGTGTCTCCGTGCCAGGTTACGGAGGTTTAGTGGCCAATATTTTTCAGAAGCTGCTTCGCATCTGGCCTGAAGCATAGCGATTTCTTCGCTGAATTACTCATTTTGCACAACTTTCACAGCAGCAAGCGTACGAAGCTTCACCTCGAGAGCTTCGGGAGAAAATTCACAGGCGTCTTGGAGTGGAAACATACTTGGCAACTTCGCTGGATTGGACCCTGGACGATGGACCCTTCCACCATAGTGCGTTGTTGACGAGCTCGCAGGGATCGACACCCCTCGAGATGAGATTGGCTGAGTTCTCCAGATCGGCGACTTGATTCCAAGTGCTTCCTTCAGTGAGTCGCTGCACCTCCGCGACACGGTTTGCTACGAAAGTGTTGTAGTTGGACGGTGGGTTGTACAGTCAGTGGAGAGTGATTGAAGAGTCAGACCAATAATTAGCACTAGCATTCATGTTGAGGCTCAACATAACGGTTTGGAACAGTTGGCTGAGGAGGACAGCAGACGCAGAGCTCTAGGCGGGGTTTGGATAAAAGTTTCTCGGGATTTGGCGGTTAGGTTGTGACGACACCACTTCTTCCGACCATGCTCCGTAAGCATTTTGGGATGCATCGCAAAACCCATGAAGTTGCACGTTGTCTCCGGCGCCTGGAGCTTTGACCAAACGAGGGATGGAAAATGACCCTAGAGCAGCCAGACTAAGTCTGTAGTCTTCCCACAAGGTGCATAGTGAATTGGGAAGCTCATCGTCCCAGCTCAGTTTCAACTTCCAAAGTTTCTTGGAAAACACGTTGGCTGTGATGACCGCTGGACCCAGGATGCCCAAGGGATCAAAGTGTTTGGACATCTCGGAGATCACGATTCGTTTCGTGATCGGATTATCAGAGAAGCGCTCAGGAACTTTGATCCGGAAGGTATCCGATTCAGGGAGCCACAGCAGACCGAGTGTGCTAACGGAACCTTAGATGTCATCAACTGCTACAATTGGCCTATCATCCTTTAGGTTGTCCGGGATGTGTGACAACACTTCGGACGAATTCGACGACCACTTTTGAAGTTCGAACCCTGCGGACTAGAGGATGCTCTGCACAGCAGAAGCCAGCTGCATTGCTTCTTCCACAGTGTCAGTACCGCTGAGTAAATCGTCCACGTAGAAATCCTTGACGATTCGTGCTACAGCATCGGTTTCGCTCTCCGAGTGATCGTAGGACAATTTTCCAAGGCTAGAGTTTAGAACTTGCAAATAACAAACGCAACCCTGGTATAAAAAATAAATTTTATTTTCAGCGCAGCTATTCAACAACTCCCACACCTGGACCCTACCTATCGACCCATCAACTCATGAACACGGGACCAATTTTGAGCCTACTAAGCATAAGCCTTCATTTACCTCTCTTTTTCGAGCGGATTCTTACACCAAATGGAATGTTTATAATACAGATGACTTCTAAATTTGTTTAGCTTCTCATAAGTACCGTAAAATTAGACAAAGAGTAACAATTTGTTGAGATATTATTAAAAACTCTTATACTGCTCCTTGGTTCTGAATTCGTCCTAACGCATTGAAACACCATTGAATTCACTTTGGCCTACGGACGAAGCTAAAAATGGAATGACAAAATGGATTCGGAGATAAAAAGATGTAAATATTCGTTCTTTGCGTTCTTAAAGACTTTGCATTGTAGCTTTTGAATCGAATGCTATAATTGACTAGAATGCCGAAATAATTGATATATGTGATGTTTCCTGCTCGATAGGCCCAAAATGGACGATTATGCCGAAGTAGTTGTTTACCCTACTTCTTTATAATTTGAGCAATTCTTTGACAGGTAGAAGCTACTGAACACTCAGACTGAAAATGCTTTAATGTAATTTCTCTCATTTGGAGTTAACTGCTTCTTTGCTAAATTATTAGGCTACCTTTCAAACTGTCACTCTGTTGTTGGTAAAGGCGCTGTCATTGGGCTTACTTTTAAATCTTTATTATCGAAATGTTTAGCCATGGGCCTAAAATAAAGCTTAACAAAGGCTGACGAACCGTAACACCTTATTAGAGCGATTTTTAAGCCTACCGTAGCATGGTTTTGTATAGTGTTTGGCAAGCTTAGTTATGAAGTAATGAAGTGCTAAAATTGGGTTGTTAGCGGAATTCTTAAGTAAACAGAAA